GCAGCACGTCGCCCTTGTGGCCCCGGGTCTCGGCGAGAGGAGGTGGGCTCCCGTCGGCTCCACTTGCTGGTCCGAGACTGCTTGGCTGTGCTGCAGGCATCTGCTAGAGACGGAGCAACTTTGTAAGCTCAGCAGCTGTCATGTGCTTGGATTTTGATCAGGAATGATCAGGTAAACCCTACCTTGGGAATATTGATACCCCATGGACTATTTTTAAGTCTTTCGCCCCCTTTTTTTTTGTGTATGGGAAGCAGTGTCTCTTTGGCTGTTCCCTCTATAAGTCACTGAGTTGCAAGAGCTCAGTACCTGCTTTTAAGCACCTAAATGCAATGGCCATTTTCTTGATAGTGCTCTTAGCAGCTGAGGAATGACTAGTAGCTGAAGATGATGTACTTTAAAATCTGCTAGAGTCCTGTTCAGGTAATCCAAGCATTCTCTTTTTTGTCTTTTGTCATCCAATCTGAGGCTGGTATTTAACTGATTATATGCCCATCGCAACAATCATAAATTGCTCTAAATGTTGGCCAAAAAAGTGCTGCTTCTATAAGGCAATGTTTAAAAAAAAAAAGTTCCAACTCTTAGAGAGCTGTGGTTTGGGCCGAGTTTAAAAACATTTTGCAGCAAGCGAGATGTGCACCAGTGCCCGTTCAGGTAGCTGCATCTCCTGGCCTTATCTTCCAGCTCAAGGACCTGCAGAGCTGAAGATTATGTTGCCGGAGAGCAGTTTGCAGTGGCCATTTTCTGGCTTCTACTTGTGTGCAAACCAGGCTGTTGTAGTTCAAATCCCTTGCCGGTCTGTTCTCGGGAGGGAAGGAAGTACTTGAGGGAAAGGCTGCCTGCTTGCTTCTGATGTAAGTGGGCTCAGCTTTTAACAGGAACCATTTGCTAAATGTGGTAGCTGAACTTGTTCCTCCTGACATTACAACCTGGGATTTCCCCGTCTGTGACAAGCCAGCCTCACCTGGGCTTCCCTTGTGTGCAGAGCAGTGCTCGGCCGCACTCACCCACAGCCCATTTCCAGAGTCCTCTTCCCATCACAGAATCTCAAAAATCATGTAAATTTGAAAATAACTCGCTGATTTTCTATCTCTAAAATTCAATGTACATTTGTTACAATGTACAGTGCTTTTTAACTACACTTGTATATTAAATTATTTAATAGTTTTTGCTTTTCAGTATCTTTTGTATGTAGCAGAGATTAAAACAAGGACCTCGTAACTGAAGTTCTTCCTAATTTTCGAATGCGTATGTAAAGTTGAACAGAAAACTAGAAGTTTACAGTTTACAAATAATGTTCTGTTAAGTGCTTGGTCTGTCTAACTTGATTTGAACAACATATTTCTAATCTTTCTTGTCCAATCATTTAATTCTCTATAGAAACCAACATGAAGTCTTTTATGAACTTCTAAAAAAAATTATTCTTCTAAAGATGTAATTTAGAGAACTGTACAGTTTTTTCTCTAGTATTTTTAAATGAGTAGCAAGAACTTACACAGAAGCATCTAATCACTGTTTTGTAGATAGTGTAAAAACTTATATATGTATAGAGAATGCAGTCTGAAGAAGTGTTTGCCTGTTGTATTTCATTTCCTACAGTATGAACATCAGAAAGGCCCATGTACACAGAAAATCTAGATCAATCTGGCAGCTGGGGAATTAAAACAAAAAAAAATAAAAAACAAACTTCATCCCCTGTCATCCCATATGTGTACTCACTGTGAGACCATGAGTGAAAATTGACATTGATAAAATGTTAGGGCCTTAAGTTGCTATGCTGCCTGTGGACACATGGAGTTCAGCACAATGTATTCCATGTTACTTCACTGGTTTAATTTTATTCAGTTTTTCCAAATTCTCCAGAAATTAAAATGATGATAAGAGTTCAGTAATGTCCCATGTTACTTTAGAGATTACTGACCTCTCCAAATCACGCTGAATAAGCCCGTGTCTGTCGTGTGTGGCAGTTCTTGCCGCAGTGGTGAGGAGTGAGTGAGAAGGAAATAGTGTCGGTCTTTTAGGCTGTACAGAACACTTGGAGAAATCAGGATGAAATAACACCCGTCTGTGCTCTTCTACTGTCTGTCTTAGCAAGTGTATTTAATTGTTTCCTGCAGTGAACCTTTAAATGTTATGTCGGGTTTGTACAATGTATTGTTAAGTGTTTGTAGTTCTCCATAAGTAGCAGGACGTGTACCTTCTGCCAGTGCTCCTTCCTGAAGCTGTAAATACAGTAACTCATGTAATGAGACGGAACCGGGGCCATTACTTTGTTGCCTTTGTTTCCTCTCGTTTTCTATATTAGAAGAATTTTTAAATAAAGTTTAATTTTACTACTTCTACCGGTTTGTAGAATACCAATTCCTTTAGTTGATCTGCAGGCAACCCTGCCTACAGAGGATGCATTTTATGTGGCAACGGTGACTTACCCCATCGCGGCGTTAGAAGTTGTCCTGGCTGTGGGGCTGCGTGTGAGTCGCTGCACGAAAAGAGCAGCGAGGCTGCCTGCGGACGGGTGCCCATGGGCACGGCGCGGGGACAGATCGCTGCTGTGCCCGCAGTCAGGCTGAGGGCTTCTGCCTGGAAACGAGAACTAGAATTTCCTGCTTGAAAATGTCCACCTGACTGCTCGCCTTGGCACGCTGGAGGTGGCTGAGGGTGGCTGTGAACCTGCCCTGGAGACAGCTGGAACCCCTGGCAGCGATAAGACTTCTGTGGATTGGTCAAACACCTGGAATTTTCTTTATTTGGTATAGGACAAATATTTTTCACTGCAGTTGTGCAGCCAAGAAGGATGTCGAGTATATTTAATCTTTGCAAATGGGATCTGGTTTAATGGAAGATTGCTGTTTGTGCCTTTTATCCCTCAATTTT